ACAGCGCCTGAGCGATGTGTTCTGAAATATAACCAGCACTCTCAATATGTGGCCGGAATTCGAGGCTCTGACCTTCGAAATCTGTCACATCATCGAGATCCAGGAGAATATACATCGACACCGAAACATATATGGGCCGGTCACATACTGAGAAGAACAGACGACAGATGGACGAAAAGAACAGTACAGTGGACTCCAAGAGAATGCAAACGTACCCTTAGAGGACCACCTACACGTTGGGCGGACGTGTTCATAAACAAAGTTAATCAGCTGTACCCGCAGCTGCAGTTGTTTTACAGATCACGTTATGAGACTCGCACGCGCTACCATGCTCGAACAAGACCACTACCATAGATTACGATTGCGAGAGAAAGGAACGAATGGCATATGTGATGGGCTCCGCTCAGCTCGCGAAGACGGACCGTCCAAGTATCTAAGTAAGATAACGTAATATAGTTTATCAGATTACCAGCACCTGCACAAGAAAGTTACAGCTCCTTTAGATATGGAGTGCTCTTCAAAACAAAAAGAAAGGAAGGAAGGAAGGAAAGGAAGTGGATAAGAAGGTTCAAAATATCATTAAACATGCATTTTTCTAAAAAACCGAGTCTCGTAGAAATGAGTTATGTAGGCATTTTAAATAAAACTCTTTATAAATGCTCAAAAACTGGACTTCATCAACATGATATTACTGGTGAGGAGTGCTGTTGAGTGTAGTTCGATGAAACAGAATAGAGGATAAAGTGTAAAGCTTTCGGCGTTGATCAATCCCTGAAGGATGCCCCATGCAATCGACTTCATCCGTAGCACCGTTGGAGGTGATTGAATGCATACCTGGCCTATACATTGACCCGCGGTGGCCTACCAATGTATCAAGTCAGCGCTGCTATCCTCCTAGACAAGTCTAGTAGCAACTTGTCTACCCCGGAGGGATGGAAGGCTTGGTGAGCCTGGAGTGTAGGATCGAACCTATTTGTATTGCAAGGGACTTCTAACCGTTGCGCTACATGCCTGCAATCATGCAAAAAAAAGGAAAAAACTATGAAACATCACTTTCCTCAAACTTATGACTTTCGACTTTAGTTCAACATATGCGAGAGGTTATGAATTAATTTCAACGTATATATGATCGAAAATAGATTGGTCTTTCATTTTCTTGATGAGGACAAGAGGTTGTTATAACAATTTATTCACCATGGCCAATGTTTGGACAGTTTTGCCTTCTCTAGTGCCTGGAAGGATCAAATTGACACGCAATCTACTCAGTCGAACACTTTCATAACCCCAGCAGATAAAACTTGGTGCATAAATGTTTATGCGCATAATAAACAGCTCCTTTTAAATAATTAGTGTTTTCTTGGTCATATGTCCTCCACTTTTTATTGGAGACCAGTCCCACAGAATCTTACATGCGTGAAAAATGTGCCTGTCTGAGGTAAAAAATCGGCTTGAGAAATGGCGCGAGACCACGCGTGATCACAAGGCACTCCTCCTTGCGGTTCATCTTTGGATTCTCGGAATTCCAAAATTCAAGAGCTTTACGCACTAATGGCCTAGATTCTTGTGCCAGAATGGTGAATTTTACTTCGAGATCTCCTCCGTTGTGTCTTCGTGCTCTACGCTTACCCAGCGAAGTATTTTCTTTAGCTTTAAGTTTCCCAATAGCTCCTTTATACAGATGTAAACTGACCAACCCGCTTTACAACGTATTTATCTCACATGCTTTACAATCAGCTACACCTTACCCAAACTCAAATAATCACCGCCTCTACCGCTACGGCATAATGTGGCAGTACGCGTCAAACAAAGACGGTTATACAAGTGGTTACGAACTAGCTGGAGTCTTCGAGTGTTCGGTGGTATTTCAATCATTGCTACCGCTTCCTCTAGACCGGCCGTTTTTAAACGTTCATTTATGAATGTGTTCAATTCGCTGCAGAAAAAGGTCAGATTAACCGGGACCTGGTTCCTTGGGAAGTGCGTGGCGACGAATACGTTGGCGAAACGGCTAGGAAACTTTGGAATTGCAAACGGGTAATCCACCCATATGCACTATCCGAATGAATGAGCACTTAGTTGGGAACGTCGAACTTAAATCTGGTACTCCACAAGGCGCGTAAAGGATATATTAAAATAACGAAGATTTTGAAGTTGAAGTCACGATCCTCAAATAGTAATTTAAAACACTTGAGCGCAGAACTCTTGAAGCATTTTGAATAAATTCCAAAAACCCAAAAATGAACCACAGCGAGAAGTGTTTTGAGATCAGGCGTGATTTCAGATAATATCTCTGGCTGATCATTTACCTGACAGGGACGGAGGACGCTCTCCCATGATGGACACCCGCCTCAGCAGTTTCATTGGATAGTACTGCTAAAAAGAAAAACCAATCACTCCGACAGCTTCGAAATGACTCCCTTTGGGATCACTCGCCGCGAACGCATTAAAACTAATGCCTCGGACAGAGGCAAAACGAAGGACCTTCAAGGTGTGGTGGTGACCTGGTTAGTCCCCAGAAAGGGTAGCAGCGCGTTCGTTCCCCACCGTAGACACCTGTAGTCCAGAGTTTTGCAAATGTCTCAGCACCTTTGTGATTAGAAGTAATGTCAGGAAAAGTTGAATTTAGAACGATTTTTAGACTTCAATCAGCTCAAATTCGAGGTCCATACCACTCGTAGATGAATCAACAAAGAAAAGTAATTCCACGGTGAAAACATTTTAGCTGCAATCCACTGAGTGTGAATATAAACTCACACAAATCGCTGTTACTCTATTACCCAATCATATGCACCGTTTCGACTCATGAAAATGACAAGGAGAATTACACCTTGCCAATTTATTATAAAGCTGAGACGTATACAGAAATGACTAGAAGTTCTGCACATAACAAGCGCTATGGTAACAAATTGAAAGCATAGCATGGCTACCAAGAAAAAAATTTTTCGAGTATACTGCTGAATGCAACAATGTTAGTCACCAACACCTATATATGCGGATTTTTTCAGAAAAAAGCAACACCCGTTTAATAAAAGAAAACAATCGTTATGAGAAAGGCTGAGAGAAAGCCGAAACGAAGGAAACGCATGCGATGGTGAACACGTTAGCTCCCGGAAAAGACAATAGCGAAGTTTAATCCACACAGCATACACCTGCGGTCCGCAGGTGGCAATATCGCAGCAACAGCTCAGTTGTATTTCACATCACACCCTGCCATTAAAAAAGAGTAGGCCGTTAATAAAAAGTGGTTAAATTGTAATGATTTCAAAGACGTAATCAATTTGGATATAAGCACTGCGAAAGATGAATGAATTCTATCACCAAAGTTATGGCTTATGTTTCGCTTAGCTGCGATATTAGGCCCATATAGAGCAGTGGTTAGTGCACATGTGGTCGTTAGCTCGACCTCGCGCCCAGGGTTCACCAAGCCTTCTATCATTCCGAGGTCGGCGAATTGCCACCAGACTTGTCTGGGAGGATGAAAACTGACTTGCAACAGCAGTAGGTCACCGTAAGTCATTGTATAAGCCAAATATGCATTCAATCACCTCTAACGATGCCTGACCCTCACTGATTGATCAACGCCGAGAGCTTTATCCTTATGCTTAGCTGCGATACGATAAAGGAATTCAACAATAGGAAAAATGAACACACCACTTTTAGATCGGGAACTATTCAGCTGTGCAAATTCGCCTTTTTGTGCAGTTCTCCTTTTCTCCGATGAAGTACTGAAGTAAGGTGAAAGCGAATCCACTAATTTTTCACACACGCGACGAGATGGTGATGGTTCAGAAGGTGCTGCTAGAAACAATCCTTCGTTAGATGATGAAAAACAGCGGTTGAAATAAAAACGATAAAGCTAGTGAAGAAAAAAACTAATGTAAATGACGCTTAGATGAACGAAAACAGAGATCCTTAAAAAAATTTGTAACCAAACAAATGAAGTAGAACGACGGTGGTTTGCGAGTAAAAAATAAGGGAAAAATTCAATCAATGGATCGATACAACGTAGATTGCTTACAAATAGTAGATGAACACGATCCCGTGCAATCGACTTTGGAATCAATATCGACCGTTAAAGGCTTCTGAAATAGTTATTAAAAAGAGAAACATTGGAGCAGACAAGCTGTCACAAATTCAACCACTAAGATCTCGTAGAAATAAAAACCATTCAGCCAAATGTATAGATTGAAAAAAAAATCACGCTCACCATAAACGAGCTCTCAATTAATGATTTTTTTCGACGAGTCGTTTTATCGAGTAGCGGCTCTGTTTTTTCGCATCCACTATCGGCAGGTGATTTAGCTTAAAATACATAACAAAGAGATTGCATTAATAGTATCACAGCAATGAAACATGTCTCTAATATAACACCGACATGTACCTGCATAGATATTTGAGACATTTGCAAAACTCCGGACCGCAGGTGTCTGCGGTAGGGAACGAACGCGCCATTGTCCTTTCCAGGGAGTAACGCGTTCACCACCACACCATGCGGTTCTTTAGTTTTGCCTGTCTCCCAGCTAGCTTTTAGTTATTAGTTCAACTGTATAGAAGACTAGAACTGATTTACAAAAACAAAAAAAAAAACGCACTCAGAACATAATAAGAAAACATCTCATCTAACAAACACTTCCATCATAATCGAAACTCATTACATGGATACTTAGATGCCTGGATGGCCCGCCTTCAAAGTTTATGAGTGCCCTAGCACAACCATCGTTTTCTCAGAGTTTTCTGGTCTAGCCACTCTAGTTCTATGGAGGCCCGAGGTTAGCCAGGCTAAAGTCTGCCCCAGGTGGTCACTGCCACAGACAGTCGCCGTCCTTGTGGACCAGAGGGATATTGGCCAGTATGCGACTAGTTTGATCTCACAACGGTGGTAGATCCTGGTATTGGTTTACTCTTAGCTAGGCTTCCTGATGGAAAGGCCAAATCATACTATACAGAATCATATCTGCAGTACGTATTTCGCAGTCCCAACTAAAATGCAAAACAGAAACTCATTTCTTCACAAAAAGGAAGAAGAATGGAAGAACCCAGAACGTACTTGGTTGAACACTGTCATCACTGTTCACACCCGATTCATCGAACTTACGCGGTGGTTGTCGACATCGACGTCCAGCTGATGGAGTGAAAAAGTGAGTAAGACTGTCCTGAAGGTTAATAATTACTTAAAGATGCTTCAATGAAAACAAAAACATGATGCGTGTAATAGGAAGAAATGAAGAATTCTGTGAAAGGACACAAACCTGCAGTAACTTCAATTCGTCAGTAGGGCGCACAGAATGTTTCCTAAACATAGTGCATGAAAGTGTGACATGGAGAACGTAACCTTTAATGAATTTCTTACTGGTTGAATCAACAAACTCTGCTGACAACGATTCGATACAACTTCGTTTTAATAGACTGAAAAAATGTGAAAAAGAAAACCAGTTAAGCCTCTCAAATACCCAGACTATTACTATTAAGTTTGTAGTTTAAAGAAAATAAAACGCTGTCTGCGTTGACGAATCCCTGAGGGATGCACCATACATTCGACTTCATTAAACATCGCTGGAGATGATTTCATGCATATTTGCTCTCTACAATGACTCGCGGCGGCCTACCAATATATCAAGCCAGTGTTGCTATCCTCTCAGACAAGTCTGGTATCAATTTTCCGACCCTTCAGGGAAGGCTTGGTGAGCCTGGAGCGCGTGGATCGACCCTATGTGTATTGTAGGACGCCTCCGACCACTGCGCTACATGCAACCCTAGTTTGTACTGTAAAACATTGCAATACGTAAAATGTTTGTCCACTAAGAAAATAAGAGGATACGAAAAATAAGTCAAGTAAACATCTGGGAAACCACATACTGGAATCAGTTAATATGAACTAAATTCACACGTGATAGCAAAGAAACTGAACAAAAATCTAGAAGAGTGGCGATAAAAGAAAGTGAGAACGAAACACCATGCCTTTCTTGCTCCGATGACCGCTTTGTTGTGGTCTGAGAGATCCGGCCTGAATCACTTTGTGATTTCGGTTCGTTTTTCTCCATAGGCTTTTCTTTTTCATGTGATTTCTTTGTACTTTCCTTGTCTTTACCCTTATCCTTCACGCCGTCACTTCCTCCTGGACGTGGCATTTTCCTAAAAGATGGTAATTGAATTCGTTTAAAAAACTACTGTAAAAATTAACAACTAAAAACCGCGGCATAACTCAACAACTTTGGTAGTTATTAACATTTGGGGCCCGAAATTAGTTGAGTTTCAATCAAATAGTGCGAAAATAACGGCCCGCTTCAACTTCAAACCGACATACTTACTTGGATACTTGGATGACCCGTCCTCACTGGTTCTACGTGCCATAACATAACCCCATTTTTCCGGTTTTGCTAATTTAGCCATTGTGATTCCCACGAGTCCCGAAGCCAACCTGGCCAAAGTCTGCCCCAGGTCGTCACCACCATGGACAGTCGCCGCCCTTGTGGATCAGAGGGAGGTTGTACCTTGTCACCACTGTACTTATTTGATACCAGGACGGTTGTAGACCTTGGTATAGGTTTACTCTTAGCTAGACTTCCTGATGGAAACGTCGGACTCGTTCTTACCTTGGGAGACCCTGCTGAAGGGATGAATCCCTCCGCTTTACATCGTAGCCCACCCATGAACACCTCCCAGCCACGATGAGGCGGTAAACCGTCAGAAAGGATTTAGGATTTTTTTCTCAAAACAACATATCACATCTTAAATAGAACTTTATTAATTGCAGTAAAAAGGATTGAAATTCACAGATCTTTTTCCACAACAAAGCAGCTCTTTCATTCTATTAAGACAAAATTTTAAATTTCTGGGAGACCCTCGAAACGTATTTTGCACCCATTTTCCGACAAGGCTTCGAAAATGAAAGCAAATGATGAAGGTGCCTCATCCATCAGAACACCATGGTGTCCCCAAATTCATTGTTGATGTTCATGACGGTTCGGATTTCATTCGAAATTTCCAAAATTGTAATTCGTTTTCATATCTCCAGCGTGTTCTTAACTCTGTATAGGGTTAAAAATCAAATAAACCTTTTAAATAAAAAAGTACACTTACTCTTAAATAGATATGGTAAAGTCTCTTCTATAAGTCGGTCACGTGTTCAGGTACTCCCCAGGTACTGCCAGTTATCGAAAAATTGTTATTAACAGTTTGGGAAGAACCAGCTTCGGGCTGTAAGTGTTTGAAAAAAAAACAAATCTTCTCTCGACGCTGACTCCATAGAAACAAAAAATACGTAACAAAGCACTCGGGAAAAAAGGATCGTGAAATGCTTCAGAGTTTATCACGAGTACTGCCACCAAATGAACTGAACTTCCCATTTTGCAATGTTAAATAATCGTAGTTTTAGTGAGATATTCCAGGAGTGAACAGAACCCAAAAAGGTCGAGGTTAAAGTTCTCGACGCTGGTCAACAATCCCTGAGGGATGCGCCATGCATTCGACTCCATTCATAGCACCGTTAGAGGTGAATGAATGCTTATCTGGCCTATACAATGACTCCTGGTGGCCTACCAATTCATCGAGTCAGTGTTGCTATCCTCCCGAACAGATCTTGTACCATTTAGCCAACTCTGGAGGATAAGGAGTTTAATGAGTAGGATCGATCCCATGTGTATCGTAGGGCGCCTGTAACCACTGCGCTATACAAGCCCACCAAAAGAATAACACAAATATTGTGCTTCGAGATATCAAACCCAACAAAACAAAACAGTTCTCCGTTGGTTACCATCAGGCTAAAGAAATCCTGGCCTTATACGGAAACTATGACATCCATTCCACGTTCACCAAATTCGTTCCCCAGCTTCTGAGAAGGATATGAACAGACAACGAATCAATTGCTTGAAGAATTCGAAGGGTTTATGCCAAGATCCAGTCATTAGAAACGTAAAACAATTCAGAAGATCGAAAATAGTCATTTGGATCAGTTGAATATAGCCAAAGGCCCTCAGTTTTCTGGAGAACACACTTTCTTCCAGAGCAGTACAAATCAATATTCGATAGGATCAATATTTAAAAAGATACAAAATTTGTTACTATTAAGCATACAATTGCATAAATTACTCTAAAATCCACTCGCTACATGGAACTATTGGTGAAGGATACCATTAAATAAGAATTCCAATATGAAAAGTCCCCTTTCTCTTCTGTAGATCACAAAAAGCCGAACTTTTCAATCAATAGTCCAACATAGACCAGTAAATACCGTAATGATTTCAGAAAAAAAAGGTCTTTTTTCCGAGATTGGGCCAAAACGGTTGGTGAATCGACGTGAAAAAAGAACCGTGAAAATCTTGTGTGGCGAGTGTTTTTGCGGAATTTGTCCACTATTCATGAAATCGTTTCTTTCGGATGATTGTTGAGGCGGATTTTCAGTTGTGAACCAATGGATGAATGAGGACCGAAGTCTGAACGGTCTGTACTGATGGACGGAACCTTGATGGACAACGAACGGACAGGTGGACGGACGGATGGACCGCCGACGGACCGCTGATGGACCGACCGACCGACACCAAATATCGATCGCGAACGGCGGGAGGCGGCAATCGGCGGCACGGAGCACTCCGACAGTCCGTCCGGCCGAATTCAAACGGTCGCCTTGATTTCGAACTTCGAGTGATTCGACGATTCGAGCACTCGTTCTAATCGCTTCAGGAGTCGATTGGGTACAATACTGAATTGTACGGAGGCAATTTCCGAAAGAAGCAGCAGCTATGCGATAAAAGACGCTCGAGCCAACGACTACCAGTGCTTTTTCGGTGAGATGACGTCATCGTTAGTTCGGATTCGTCGCTGACGTCAGACACGTTCGAGAACGTCCGATTGACGTTGAATCGTTCAAATGTTGTGTATCGTTCATTGATTTGCTGTTTCCCTCGTTGCACATCAAATTTGAAAAGAACACCTTTCTTGGGGAATATTGATTTTAGTTTTTTTATGAGAACACACGATGTTGTTATTTTACTGTTTATTTATAGTAGGTGACGTCTCGGCCGATTTCGCCTTCTTCAGATCCTGGAAGGGTCAAGTTGGCTGGAATCTAGTCAGCCAGGCACCTCCATAACCTAAGTGGCAAAATCACAAAGGCTGATGTTTAGTAGCATTGAGAACGAAGCAGCTTCTTTACACACTCAGCGCTTTTTGTGTGCCCTTCACTGAGTCTCCCATGTGGAGACCAACACTAGACAGTTCAGATGAATGGACTTTGAGCTTTTCTTACGCTAAATTATCAATCCGAGATATTCTGTGAAGTCTGATGTGTCACAAGAAGCTCCTCCCTGTGACTTCTTTTCGGATTCTTGGAACTATCCAAGATACTTCGAGAGTTCTGCACGCTGAAGGTTTCGATTCCTGTGCGGAGATGGTAACTACTACTTTAGGATCTTCCCCGTTACGTCTCTGTGTCCTATAAGCGCCTAGTGGAGTAGTTAGTTTGAGCTTAACGTTCCGACTAGGTATTCTTTCAAACCGATGTAGAGTGGTCTACACGTTTGGCCAAAGTGTTCGTTTCCGCATGCTTTGCAAGAGATCAGACACACCATACCATAACCCATGCAGTCACCGTCTCTACCGTTAGGGTAAATAATGCAATTGTGCATTTCCCTTAGACGGTCATGCCAACGGTTATAAACCAGATGAAGGTGTCCTGTTTGTTTGGTGGTAATTCACTTACTATGTTCAATTTCCAGTCAAAGCTGCTTCGTTACCAATGCGACCAACACCCACATATCTTGAGCTGATCATACTGCACTCAACTTGATCTTTCAATATTCTGAAGAAGCCGAGGTCAGCGAAACGTCAGCTTTTTGAGACTGTAGTAAGAACCTCGTACGTAAGCTTATCAGGAAAAAGAAACAGCGAATTAGTGATCCAGTGGAGTTTTGGCCCGGAGTTTTGCAGATATCACAGCATCGTTGTGGCTACAATGTTTGAATTTCAAAGCGATCATCATTTATTACACTTTAGACCGTCAAGCGGCAATATTTTATATTCTAACTTCTAATTATTGCCTGTATTTCTTTCGCCGCACGGTTTTTTTTTCCATTTTATGATGTATAGTACAACCATAAGGATGCTGGGATATGGCAGAACTCGGTATCTCAGCAGGGTTTCGAACCCGCGTTTAACTTTTACCTGGAGCTCACGTGCACCACACCAATATTTTATATTGGTAGTATAACTATTGTTTATATCAATTGATATGTATTGCACATGTTTGTATTTATACATCACATGACGCCACTATATATTATTCGACTTAATTTATACATTTATATGGTTGTTTACAACTATATATCTACGCTTGCCTTGTTGTGTTCCCCTCTATCTTATATTTGTTTTCATTTGTATTTTGCATATTTTATATTATTTTTATTTTTTTTATTTTGTATTTGATTCCACTAGTATTTTATGCAACAACCATCAAGCTGCCTTCTTGTCTTTCTCCCAAATAATTGCTTATTTGTTGGTGAGAACCAGTCAGCAAATGTTTTGAATAGTCCCATACCTGTCATAGCCAATCTTTTGCGTTCTAATGTCTAATTGAAGATAGGTGAAATTGTCTGTTTGTCTGTAGTTCTACATTTCTTCCTCTACAGTTTATTACTGAATATTAGTGTTGGTAACGACTCCTTATCCGACACTGGTCTGTCGTCTGAGGCCTACCGTCTCGAGACGTCTCGTGGCGAAATGAAGGCTTTTTAGGGGATCAGGTAAGATTAAGGAAACGATAAGCTTTTATCGAATATATAACGATTGTGTAGTTTAGAACGGTTAGAGCACTGTGGCTGAACTACCGATGCATTAAGTCAGTGTTTTTGCACTCTCATGTAAGGCTGCTGGCCAGTGGCTGGGTTTAACCAACAACCAAACGTCACCAAATTGTACGGCATCTCTAACCGCTGCACTTCCCACGCCTTCATAGAAAGTAAAAATTAATCTGTTCTGAAAAAATAAATCTGTTGGCCCATATAAGTTCGAGTTCTAAAAGTAGAATCGCCTCAAAACGGTTGTCTGTGGTATTCTTGTCTCATTAAGTCCACAGCTACGTGTGTACTATTCATTTTGAATTTAGCATGAGAGGTTTGGATCACTTGTGAGTGATACGCTATTCTCTATTACAAAAGCATAGAGGTGTAGACCTCTAGGCGTCGATCAGTCCCTGAAGGACTTGCGGTGGCTTGCCGACGTATCAAGTCCTTGCTCGTGGCCTTGCTTCGTGGACGCAAGACGGAATCGATCCAGAAGAGCCGTGCTTTGAGGTACGACATCACGACCACTGTGCTACCCGCTTCCTCCTCTTACATTTTATAAGGAGTGAGAGGGAAGCCGAAAGGAAAATTTTGATTTGCGAGTCTTTAGACAGCTTGTGCGTCACCCATGCATAGACACAACCGAACATCAAAAGCTGTTTTACTACTCTCAGAGTGGTTGATTTGCTTAGAAGGAAAGTATTATAAATTCGGCGTAGATTATAGTCCGTTAAGGAGTCACCATGCATTCACCTCCATTCATATCACAGTAGTAATTACTGAGTGTTACTGATGGATATTTGGCCTATCCAATGATTACCTGTTACCTGCTGTTATATCAAGTCAACGCTTTTATCCTTCTTTTTTGATATGATATGACCAAACGACAAAAACGGAACGATTTTCGTGCCGTGCCATTACGTCCTCAAGTGTTATGCTGGAAATGAGTTGAATTTTAAGGAATGGTAACGATTAAAGTTAAAGCTGAAAAATGAACTACAAACACAAGCATGTTGACATATGAGCAAAATCCGGTACCTCACTTCAGGGGCTCACGTGCTATCCAAAACTCTAATTAAGGTCCTTTGCTTTTCTCTCAACCATGTTTTTACTCAATCGTTAGTATCAGTAGTCAGCTGTCATTTCCTTTGCTACGGCAGTGTCAATTGCGAGTTCGAATCCAAACTGTGGTTCCGAGTCTTGTTTCTGATTCAGCATACTTGTGGTTGTTGTTCACATCGCACCCTATTATGAAAGAGGAAGAGGCAGTAGGTAAAAGTTAATACATTGCTGAACACTGAGTTAAGTAGCACTTGAAAGTTGTAGTTCCAATTTGAAATTGACGAATATTAAAGTCCGCAGGCTCGCGTACTGCAGACGCAAAAGCCTCCGTGGTGCAGTGTATAATGCGTGAGCCTCCGAAATGGGTAATCGTGGTTCGATCTGGCCAGGGGTCCAGTTTTTGCTAATATCTCATCATCGCTGTGGTTGCATTCTTTTTTACGTTCTTTATGGCTAACATAAATTGCAGCTATAAAGCTTTATTCAAACCATTCCAGGAAAACCTGCGTTTCAGCGGATTGTATCGTCTATCATTTAAGTGACGTTCTGAGCTATTCCATCATGTCGAGATGATTAGAGCGCTTCCATTCTAAAGACATCCCGGTAGATGGTGAAAGGCAACCAGAACGTGAGACTAGACTTGAACAGCTACGCACTCTATGGGCTGTTCAAATCGCAGGTGAATTTGGCTGACCCAACGAATTCACAGTGTTCTTCAGTTGTAATAAGATTGCCAGTAATTTGTGAACCAGGTAGTCTCATCTCTCGAAATATGCCCTACCATGGAAATGGACGTTGAATCTTCTGTATGACCCCATTAGTACGGCGAAACAGTTTTTTAGCACTTGGTAGTAGCTAGGAAGTTTAGAACTTCGAAACCTTGTAGAACAAACATTGCTGCGTCATCTTAAGGTTTACGTAATTTTATAAAATATTCTTTGAATTTTGAATGCGTTTAGAGTATAAGTTTTCTTAATTTCCGACATACAGTGGGACAGTTGTAAGGACCAAGGACACGTTTAATTGTCTTCGTGTTCCAAATGTGAGCCTAGACGAAAGAAGAAAGAACAAAGAAACAAATTTGTGGGCGCTACCAAGTCAAAATTTTATGTTTGTAGGATACGAAAACGTATCTGATTGGCAAAGATTTATGTATTGAAATCAATGCATGCTCAATGTCAGGTCGTTGTCAAAATTTCAAGAGTCGGCTTGCACCGCAACAAAGTTAGGTCAAGTTTTTGATGAAACAGTGGAATAGTCTCAGCTGTGTTTTAACACTATAGGTGCTGTCAGCAATCGCCCGTTATTGGGGTTGATCTGGAGAGAACAAATCGGCATGAATCCAGTTAACGTGAAGCTGTGGCAAAAATCACAATTAAGTCGCTTTTTATTTATTGCATGTTCATTTTTTATGGCAGGTTATAATGTGAAATAGAACCACAGTATTTCGAGACCGACTTTCCCTGAACCTCGGTGTGACTAATCAATATGCATTCTTTCTTGATAAGCTTGCACGAGGTTGATAAATATATTTATTTTCGGCTAACATTTCGACGTCTTCGTGATCCATCTTCTCGAATGGAGATCACTGAGGAAGACCTGGCTCGACACGAAGACGAAGCTGCAACGTCGAGACGAACAACAATCATGGACCATCGACTCGGATCATCGGCTCCGAGGGAGACGAAGACGTCGAAACGTTAGCCGAAAATAAATATATTTATCAACCTCGTGCAAGCTTATCAAGAAAGAATGCATATAACCACAGTGATGCTGATGCGCTTCTTCCAACCAATGCAGCGGTGGTCGTAGCCACCTCTTCCATTAAACTCCAGAAGCTGATCGAAGTCCTACTAAAGAAATGGCTCGAGATATTAGTTTCGATTCGGCAATTAGTTCCTTACACGACACTACTTGCACAAACGATGTAAAGTATCTCTTTCAGGGATTTGCAGGTATTTTTCCCCTATTTTCCTAACCGAATATTGAAGAGATGATATCATGAGACACCAATAAGCTCTTAACCCTTTATATAATGAAACAGTATTATTTCTATACCGGTATATAATTAGATTTTTGTGATGCAGTGGTCGGAGGCGCCTTGCGACACCCACATGGGATCGATCCCCGCGGCCGTGGCTCACCAAGCGTTTTATCCCTCCAGGTTGGGCAAAATGGCACCAGACTTGTCTGGGAGAATAGCAGCAATGGCTCGATACATCATCGAATGCTTGCCGCATCCCTCAGGAATTGATCAACGCCGAGAGCTTTACCTTTATTTTATCCTTTTATATAATTAGGCTCACTCATTGAAAAATCAACCAAAACACTTGTGTAAAGTTAGACTTTGCTGATTCTTAAATACCGAACTTATTGAAAGAGTTAGGAAAGAAGTGTGAGTTCATCAACACCTTGAGAACGTGTAGAATTTAAGACATTGGTATCAACATCGTTTCATTCATTCTTCCTTTTTGTCATACGAAACAAGTTCAGGCTGGTTCTTTAATACTGGTCATGAAGCTTGCAATTTGGATTTTTGAATATGAGTAATATTCCAGGAAAGTTTGGTTTAGCACCCAGCTGAAACCTAACGAAGTGGTAGTTGTAGGAATCCGACCATGGCCAATTCTATGCGACCGGTGTAGAAGGACTGTAGCGAGCTAGGGAGGAACTGTGGGATGGTAAAGAAAAAGTAAGGGACGTTTCATTAAAGCTGGACTATCTCAGCGCCACTTTGCTGTGTTGGCCTAAGTTTCAGAGATGGTAGTGATATGCAAAAAAAATGCGATGGACTCTATCCATTAGAAGAAAAGGTGAAAACCCCGCTGACGGGTGATTGCTGTGGCAAAAAGATCGATAGAAATAGCTGAGAGACGTGCGAAACAAAGGACCCGCATGGTGTGGTGGTGAACGCGTTACTCCCCGGAAAGGATAATAGCGCGTTCGTTCCCCACCATAGACACCTGCGGTCCAGAGTTTTGCAAATATCTCAGCAACGTTGTGGTTGTATTTCGCTTAGTAACCTGCCATGAAAATTATAGAAGGCAGAAAACAAAAACGTTAAACAAGGTGATTAAGGTTGATTGACTCAGATAGTTAAATGGACGATCTAATGTAGATATGATCACTTCTGGTGAATAGAAACTTTAGTTTCCCAGCGGCCGTCGACATCATGCATGCGTGAAAACGTCACATTTTTCAAGAACAACTATTAGACTACATATTGTGGTAACTTCCATGACAGGCTTTCCGTTAACTTTGGCATTGGTGAAATAATTCTTCATATTTTTGTTGAGGCAACAAGTGGTGTTATTTTATTTCTTATTGAGATGAAGCTAACGTCTCGAAGGGTTTCGCCATCCTCAGGGCTTGGAAACGTCGAGTCGACTGCAATCCACCCAGCCGAACACCTCCATAACAAAGCAGTGGATGTGCTAAACCAAGATTTTAATCGTGTTGAAAACAAAATAACTTTTTAGCATACTCACCGCTTTCTATAAGTTTTCCATTGAGAATGTCAATGTCAATTTATGAGTTGGGCTCGTACTTGAGCAATTTTGGTTTTTTTTCTGAACGTCACTGAGTGCTGGTCGTGTCGATTCTTCCTTTATTCCTGAGATAATTATGCCATGGCGTTCCCAGGTCTTCACCACGAACGGTCATCAATCGCTGTGGATCGGAAGGAGTCTGTTAACGATTTCGCGACCCTGGTGGACCAGGAAGATTCAGTTGACCCATTGTGGTGTGGAACCAGGATCCTGTATGTACTATTGAACGGTATCACCATCACCGGACAGGAAAACCATGCACTGAAAATAATGGTAACGGCGAAAGTGAGCAGAAAGTGCCTATAAAGGTAGAATTGGTGTGATAAGGTTATACAAAAACAACAATAATGGGCCAATGATTTCAATCATAAACTCCGGCTTCTAAGCAAAGCAAGATATTCGGGTTTCTGTGGCCTGATTTTTCATTAACTTTAATATGATTGAATTTTTACATTCCTCCAATAATTCTAACGAGCCCATCAACGTTTATTCAGAGATACCTCCATAGATATATCTAGAACTTGTACGAATGCATTATTTCACAATACAAACAGTAAACGACGTCTTTGACATTCAGCAATTATTTAGGAATAAAAAAACAGCGAAGGAGAAAAGGACATGTATTTGTGGGAGAATAAAACGATGCGAGTCGACCAATTGATCCGAACATCTACTCCTCCTCATCCTCCTCTCCTTCCTCTTCTCCTCCCTCCTCTTCACCTGAAATTTATTTCGAAGAAAAACGTTGTTGTTATTGCCTTACGTTTTCCGCCTTGTGTTATTCAAATTATCAAATGCATGACACAATCGTCGTTAACAGAATGACTTCCACACCTTCTTCCTCAGGTTCGGGTTCTTCGGTGGGTGGTGGACGCGCCGGTTCTCCTTTCGCCTCCTCTTCTTTCTTCTCGGCCGCCGGCTTCTTCGACCAATCAGGTTTGTCCGTATTCTTCTTTGTCTAAAAGCATTACAGTAAATAAACTAATGGATAAGGGTAGGGTAACAAGTGAGGTAGTGTTGACCTTAGACATGATATCTTGGATTGCATTCTCCTTCTTAACCACTTTAAGATTTGCTCGGAAGTCGGCCTTCTCACCCTGAACTTGTACTAGATTGAAATGAGTGCACACTGTGAGGGCTTTCTTTTTTGAGTTTTCGTGAGTGTTTTAAAGGAAGTTATTGGGAAATCGATAAAATAAAGTTTATAAGTACCTTGTTTTTCTCAGCGTCAGCCATCTTCTTGAATCTGTTGTCGTATTTGGAGACCTTCTTCAGTGTCGGTTTCACGCTAGAACATTTCCGCGATTCAAATCCAAATTTTTGAATCGTTATAAAAGACTACTGAATGTTCAATATAGAAATCTGAACAGTTAATAATTGACTTGCTATCTTCTTCCTTTCGCAATCCTCTTTTTTAAACTTTTTTCCCCACAAAAGAAAAACGAGTGAATTTTAACATAAGTAAATGTTCTAAGGGGTGCGTGTGGCACAGTGGTCGAAGGCACCATTCGATACATACATGGGATCACTCCCTGCGCACGTGGCTCACTAAGCCTTCCATCTCTCCGAGGTCGGCAAATTGGTAGCAAACTTGTCTGGGAGGATAGCAGCAGCGGCTCGATACATCGGTGGGTCACCGTGAGTCATTGTAAAGGCCAGATATGCATCCAATCACCTCTAATTACGCTTAATGAAGTCGAATGCACGGGCGCATCTCTCAGGGACTGATCAACGCTGAGAGCTTTATCCTTTATCCTTTAAAGGTTCGAGGTTCATTGGATTGTGAGTGGTTATTCTCCACTATTCAGTCTACCCAGTTTTGCTTTAAATGACTGGAATAAGTAGAAAATTGCAAGGTCGATATTAGGGTATTGATTCCTGATAGGTAAGTTTGAAGACTACTTATCGACGAATATCGATGGACAGTCGTCTATCTGGTGATACCCACTAAATGATCGATTATATCGATTCGTGTTAAAGATGTGATTTATTCACTCACAATTTGCCTCTCAAGTCGTTAACGGCGATTGTAAGCTCATTGATTTCGGCTTCGCTTTGAGTGACAATGAAGTTGATATCATATTTCTCTTCTTCCAGCTTCTTCACTCGTTCGAACATGTCGTTGTAAATTTTCTCGAGTTGAGCTAAAACAAACCTGCCAAAGTTAATAGGTAAAGGAAACATTCGTTCTTTTTTTATTCAATCTTAAATAGTCTGTGACGCTTTCGAAATTTTTAGAGTACGAAAAGACGAGTAATCTCCGATATACAACGATTATAAAACGAAGGACCCGCATGGTGTGGTGGTGAACGCGTTACTCCTCGGAAAGGACAATAGCGCGTTCGTTCCCCACCGCAGACACCTGCGGTCCAGAGTTTTGCAAATATCTCAGCAAAGTTGTGGTTGTACAACGATTATAATTAGTTTTCTGTTCAAAGTTTCTTTTACAAAGTAATGTCGTTCGTAGGAGCTCGTGGACTCGATGTTTACTCTAAAATTAACACCAATCTCACATTGTCTGTTCTAGGGCTAACCCCAATCTCATTGTCTACCGTTAGTGGGCTTATCAGCTGGTAACTGGACACATCTGATTGAAGGACAAAATACAGTTTTGTTTTGTTCTATCATCCGTTTCTTCGCAGAAAGAATTCTTAACAGTATAGATCAAACGCACTAAGTACTTCTTATGTGAATCTACGAATTCGATGTGTCAGTGCATTTTCATTACCTTGAAAACTCTGTGAGCCTTATCATCCCCGTCATCCTTTCATTCACCTCAGTCTTTTGACCCCTTTATTCATTCCTGGCTGTGTATCTCGGCGGCTGAAGGTGTACTGCAATATACACGCTGTCTCTAGTTCGACCCCACGCCCTGAATTAACTATCCGCTCATTTCTTTCGTGTCGACCGATTACCACAAGATTGATCGATGATGGTAAAACACCATCTGATACATCGATAAGCCACGTCAAATCGCTACGCTTTAATTTACCACCACGATGCAACCAGTGCATGAGTTACAAATCCCTCAGGGATTGAACAACGCCGGACGCTTTCATCTCAACACTTCAGTTATCAATAAGACTATCTTTCTCATAGAAAAACGTTCACCATATGGACGAGCATATTACACTTGAGGGACGAGATGTGGTGTCTTGATGTACGGAAAAACTCCGTGCTCTAATATTGTGTAAAGCTGGCAATAAGCAGAATACAACTATGACAGATAAGTAGTTAGTGGAAGTTTTACCCAGTATATGCTATATCTACGACTTTTTCCTTACTGGTATTGAATAAACAGATCTTAGATAAGAGGCAATCATTCTTAACGGCACATAGCCCATGATTTTGGACCTTCCTTCCATGAAATTGTCCACTTTCGACTTCTAACATTAGTAGAAATATCATGCAATGAGTATCTTATTAACTAATATCTTTGTCAACTATCAAGGTACTTATGGTGTTTCTGAGCACTCTATTAGGATTCCAAAGTTCCACGCACCTTTATCGTCAATTTTGTCGACGTCTGGCAGCGGGATGATCCTGGACGCTAATGCTTTCTGGCGTTCCTGTGCTTTCAACAATTGCTGCTGCTTAAGATCTTCAGCAGCTTTCATCATAAGAAGTTTCTAAAAAACGTACGATTTGTTCGTTCAAACAGTGAACTTCATGGTTCTCCTAAAAATAACCATAGCGAAGTGTCATTGAGGATCATTTCACTATTGGCATTTGTTTTAAATCTTACCCTAAGTTTCTTCTTTCTTTCTGGCGTTAGGAAACCCTTCTTTGCTTTCTTTTTGCTGCCGGCTTCTTCGAGCCTCTTTCGAACTTCGGCCTTCTTGCGCTCACGTTCCTCCGCTTTACGAGCGGCATCCTTTAAATTATATTTTAAAGGCTAATATTATGAAATGGCATATTTACCACTAAGATTTGCTAATAAAAGGTCGGTGCTTGACGCTCACGTCGCCTCCCTCCTCGGCTTGTGGGCCGCCGTAACGTAGCTTCTCATCGAAGTCCGACATAACTGGAATCACGGAAAAACTCGTCCGTATAGCCACAGTACAGTGAATAACGGTAGATCAACGAGGAACAAGGAAACGCAACATATCGTTGTACCGCAACTCGTCAATGTTTGACATTATGTAGTTTTTGACGTTGATGAACAGTTTTAATAATACATTGGAAGCAGTTTAGTGAACAGCTATCTATAGAAAACAGAATAGAATAATGAATACTTGGATTCTTGGATACCTGGATGGCCCATCTTCACCGGTTGTGCGGGCCCAAGCAAAATTTCCACATTTTTTAGAGTTCTGCTGGTCTAGTCACTGTAGTTCCCTGAAGTCCCCAGCTCAGCCTAGCCAAAGTTTGCTCCAAGAATAATGAGTGAGGAGTATAATGGTTTTTTTTAACGACACTGAAGGCATAGTGATACATGTAAGTGATTGCAAAAGCGAAAAAGAAGTACCTTCCAAAAAATAAAGGACTGGAAATATCGGGAAAAGAAGGGAGTTGAACATAAAGCAAATATCCTTTAAAGGAAAAGGAAACATGTGTGATATGGAAGAACCTCATTAGAAGGAAGAACCGCTTTGAACTCAAGTGCTTGAAGAGAGTAACAGTTGTCGACAACATTGAGTAACAGCTGTAAGAAAATGAGTTTCAAAATAGAATTTCCAAAGGACTCATAGTTTCTTAGGTAGTAAACATGGATTGTTGCACTGACTCTTAAGCATAAAAAATAGCTCGAGAACGGAAACAATGGTAAAAGTGCAACTCGGTCGCAATTTTGTGGTCCATACGACCATCCGTGGATGTTTTTAGTAGAATTTTCAGTGGTTCTTCCGCCAAATTGTTTGTAGTTGTCTTGTTCAGTTGCTTTTTAGTCCTTTTTAAACATACTTCATCTCCTTGAGAAGATGTGAGGTATAAAGGATTTTCTAAAAGTGTATCACGTGAAAGTCTTCAGTAGGAAAGAAAGAAACCGCCGAAAAAGGAACGAAATGATATAAAAGGGAAAAAATTTCAGCCCAGAGATTAACACCCTCTTTCCTAATCAGCTTATCTATCTGGGCATAACTATTTATGAGCCAACTAAAAGCGAATTCCTTCACTAGTTTTTATCCCAAAGTGACTGTTTGGTAGCACAATAACATGACTATGCTTATAAAATAGATATTTCCGTACTATTTATGACACAGGCCTCTCAATAAATGGAATAAAGCTTTCTGAAGTGATCTGAAAGATAGCGTTGAAATTCGATTAGCGGTTCTAGTGGCGTTAGAAGTAGTTATTACGGATAAAGTGGAGAAGCTTGGAAGTTAAGCGTTCCAGGTGAAAAAGTTATTATAGAGGAGGAATCGAGCGCGGTGTGTTGTTGTTGTCGGTGTGTCAGTCAGCAGGAAGATGGTGGGCTAGCGATTCACGAGGGCCGGCCGAGCCGTCGGCGCTGTAAAGCGCGGGTTGTTAATCCCACGCATTCTGCAGGAATAGTTCAGACGAGAATGGCATCAACCACCAACTATAAACTCCAACCACGAATCTCCTTCTCTTCATACTCATCTTGATCTTCAGTTCTGGTGAGCAGCAGAAAGTACCCTATCGGCCTTTACTAGTATGTCTAAAACGGTAGCGATAGAGATGCGTTCAAGCTTGCGTTTTATTACTTAAGTTCTAAGCTACTGATATGAGAAGTTTTCGGTGAGTAACTCAATGTATGAAGCAAATTTGATGATATCCATGTTTTTTGTACCATCAAATTAGTCCTAACTCTCAGCCTACATAGATATCCTCTAATACCATAGTGGCTGCGATTAGAACTAAAGTAGCCTCTAAAGCTAAACATGTTAAGAAACCAAACATTAGACATTGTAGATAAGCATCTAACGAAACTCATCAATTTTCATGAGTTTAGAGAGCGAATATGCTTCTTGTCACATTTGAGTAGAGACAGCTGTCGGAATCTACGCGAAAAACTTAGGGATTTCTTATTTTGGTCTTAATAAACAGATGGCATACCCATTGATGACATAAATCATAGTTTTTCTGAGAGGCCAAGTTCGTGATAAAAGTTTTTCTTAAATATGAACGTGTTACAGAAAATTACTGCTATATTGTTGAAGATGATTGGCACGTATTGTATTGTTGTTATTGCTAGTAGAAAAAAGGATAAAGCTCTCGACGTTGATCAATCCCTTAGGGATGCGGCATGCATTCGACTTCATTAAGTATCGATGGAGGTTAGTGAATGCATATCTGGCTTTTACAGTGATTCATGGTGGCCTACTGATGTACCCAGCCAGTGCTGCTATCCTCCCAGACAAGTCTGGTGCCAATTTGTCGACTCTGGAAGGATGGAAAGCTTGGTGGGCCATAGGCGCGGGGATCAATTCCACGTGTGTATTGTTAAAAATATTACTAATATTATCACTGCTACAAGTTTACTTTGAAGACACGTCTTTCGAATTCAGTAGTTTAGGCATATCTAAAAATGACGGTGAGAACGAATATTTTAGCAAATGTTGCACAAGGATGTCATCGGTGCGAATGTCTCGCCGTTAAAACTACAGAAGAAGGGAGAAACCGTATGGAACTAGTCGATCTTTCAAGGATGCACTGTGCATTCAAGGCCACTAATGGAATTAAAGAGCTCATTGAATGTATATTTGGCTTATACAATGGCTTTCGTAGGCCCGTTGATGTTTAGAGTCAGTTGTTGTTTTCTCGGTAGGCATTCACAAGGTTGTTATTGTGGTATTTGTCAACAGTTCCATTTCGTCTATTTGTTGGCAATGCCTTCTTCTTTTTTACTTCCTATACTTACTTCTACTTACTTCTCTGTTCTGCTTTTCTGCTGTAATCGTTTCCCCGGATTCAAAAAGCTGTGACTAATCAGGTCGGCTGCAGACCACCAAACAGTAACCATAACGTTTTACTTTTATTTTCTGCCTACTACAGTTTTTACGGCAAAGTATTATGCGGAATACAATCGCAATGTTGCTGAAATATTTGCAAAAATCCGGGCCGCAGGTGTCTACGGAGGAGAACGAACGCGCTATTACCCTTTCCGGGGGCTAACGCGTTTACCACCACATCATCTGGGTCCTTCATTTCGCCTGTCTCTCAGTTAGTTCTGTCGATTTTGGAGTTTTGCAAATATCTCAGTATCCATAACCTTTTTTGGTGCAATTTCGGCTTGCTGTGGAGCCCAGTCCCAATCCAACTTTTGAGCTGAACGTCGCCGGTTGTCGTACAGAATCCACTTCTCGTTGCACGTTACAATTCGATCAAGAAAAGGGTTGTTTTTGTTGCGCAGAATAGGAGCAGATGACAGGTCAGAGCGGCGATTTCTTGATTATCGTTTAATTCATGCGGCACCCCTTTGTCGAGTTTTTTTTCCTATGCGATTCAAGTGAGTGGAAATTGTTTCCGTGCTTACGCCAAGCTGTTCTGCAAGCTCTCGAATAGTTGTTCGCGTGTTTACCTCCACTAGTGCCTTCTATTGGGCGTCGTCAAGTTCACTGCGACGTCCGAGGCCTCCCTTACCTTCGAGATCGAAATCACGAGATCGGAATTTCTGGAACCATGTTCATACTCGTATATAATGCTGAGATATTTGCAAAACTCCCCACCGCGTACACCTGCGGTCCGGAGTTTTGCAGATATCTCAGCATTATATAGGAGTTATATTTCGCAACATACCCTGCCATTAAAAAGAAAAAGGCTGTAAATAAAAGGGTTAAGATCATGTTCATACTGTTGATTTATCGATCGCTGTGAATGAATTCGACCCGGATATGGACAGAAATTTTGATTCCAAGAGGAGACGTGTCCTTTTTGAGCAGCATTTGTGGAGAACGAAGATCTACTATATTGGAGTTCCTCTACTTGTTCTTCATTTTTTTTTGAATGGTTCCAACCGTCTGCAGCTGATGAATAACATTAATGAGCACGGTAATGAATAATCATTCCGTTGTCTTAAAATCTACGGATCTACGACAACGAGGAGGATTAAGCGATATTCTGCTTCTCGGACTTTATTTACATTATAACAATCATAACTGATCAATAAGAAGGACTGCGAATCAGAATGAGCACAAGCTATGATAACTACCAGTGAATTTAGTACTCGTACTTCTCAGAAAGGCATTTAGAAAACTAGAATCATTGAGCACACAACAGGCTAAAACTGAAAGCTACCATACGAAAGAGCGATTGATCATCCGAAAGAAGAGTTGATTCTTCCCATCATAAAAGCGCTTCAAACGTTTTAACACTTCGCGTCTGATCTTGGGATGCTCACGACCCTTAGTTCTTCCCAGACAATGAAGACTGCCATCACGCTGACGGATACATGGAAACTTCTTCACCGGATGAATGCCGAAATCCTCTTCTGTCACCACTGAAAAATCTTACCAAACAAGTACAAATACTAAATAACAAACAAGTATGGAAATAAAAAACGAAAACAACTGGGAGTGATTATACCCGTCCACCGGTGATTGATGATAACACCATTAGAGCAAAAACCTGCTGAGAAAAAGGCAAAGCAAAGGCCTCGGTGATGCAGTCGGTAGCGCATGAGCACCAGGTAAGGGTAATTACGGGTTCGAACCTGGCATGGGGTATGAGTTTTGCAAATACCTCAGCATCACTGTAGATGCATTTAGCAAAATTTTAGTTGGTTGAGACAATTTATCAAAACTGATGATTCACCTGGTTCAAGCCCGAGGAACCTCTCGGTCTGACTGACCTCGAGAGCCGGTGCTGAAACCAACCGCTCTCCGTCCACGATGTGGATTTGATCCATTGGAAAGTTATCCAGCCATCTAAGAAAAGTACATTTCATTTAGTAAAACTAGTCCACGCAAACTGAATACGTAATACCTCTCCATGTATTGGTGGTATATCCCAATACGTATTGCTCCCCATCCAATATTGAGACCGTCAACTTTCGAGGAACAGTTTGTCTTCAGCCATGGCGCACAGTCGCCGACGGCCATGTCTTCGAATGTCGGCATTCTTCCCAGTGCTTTTCTCTTCGATAACGCTTGAGTATAATCTGAAAAAAACACAAGGAGTGAAAAGTTTGTTTCGGAAGACGGTCCGTTCAATTTTACACACCTGAGATCGCTCTCATTACCGGATTCCTGACCACGACGATGATTTTCATTGCTGGATTCAGCGCTCGGATACGCTCGGCTGCAGTTTTGCTGTGGAAATACGCCGGACTCTTTTCGATCGTCAACTGATGTTTGGTGGTCAGTGGCATCTTTTCCCTGTGTGAATATTAATGACCATCTATTATTTTTTACCGCGAAAGTAGTAAAGTGGTAGATAACAATCTCCTTTTTAATACGTCGACAGATTGATTGCACAGAAAAACTTTATTAAGCACTTAACTACCAGTTCAGACACCTTGATGAAGTTATCCACCGCTTTCGTTTTATTGTCCCTATTATTATTAATCACTCAATTACTGAATAATATTTAGACTTGTAGTCGGCAGTAGTGGGAAAATGCAGTGCAGACAAGAAATATGGCTAGAATAAGGTCAATACAATGACATGGAAGAAAGTAAAAGTTCCTAAGAAAAGTTTGGTAGCAAAAATGTAAAAGCAGAGAGCCATTGTTAATAAGAAAGCTGCTCATTTCATTTAAATTTCCAAATTAAAGAGGTTAGGAACTTTGTTTTCCCGGTAGACAAGAGAAATCCGACAATCTTGTGTCGTTTTTTCCAATGTAAACTATAATTCGAAAGCAATTAATCAGTTCCATTTTCTGTCAGCACCCAAAAAACAAAGAATGTCCAACTTCATTTTTTAAATTAAAGGACGGGAAACAAAAGCGGAAAGCGCAGTGGTTAGAGGCGCCTTGTAATACTGCACGCATGGTCACTGGTTCAACTTAGGTCGAGCGAATGAAGCCTACTTTACTTCGGGATAGGACATGTGGTAGTGGACTGCTCTGGAGAGAACTCACTCAGATGCACAAAGGCTGAATGCGATGAGCATATGAGAACGATGTGGTAGAGTTATTAAATCAATGCAGACAGAATAGGTTAAAAGACATTCATGAGGAAGACAAAGTCCCGAAGCCGCAGCAAAACCAAATCCGAATACCTTCTTGGATTACGGAAGGGGATAGCGGAGCAAATAAAGCAAGTGATGTCGTCCTTGCAAAATGTGAACTTTGGTGATGTAAATGTAAGTAAATGAACGAAGCACGCGGACTGAATAGAAAAGAAGGAGTAATCAGAAGGCCACCCAAACACGCGGAGAAGTAGACTCGTGGAGCCTCCATCTACAAACTGCTACCTGAATACTACTTAAAATATATTTTTTTCATCCTTACTATCGAAGTTCGTTACTTGTTTTAGGAGAATGGATTGTGGTCGTGAAATCTTGAGAATGATATGAGGAATTTCCCTTGTAGTGTACCATCAACGCAATCCACTCAACTGTAATACATTTCAGGTCAATGATAAGAAAGCCTGTAAGTCCTAGAAGCAATTATTCTTTTATTAATTGTTGGAATTTTAGATTTTAAGAGGCCAATGTCTGTCTGCAAAATGGAGAAACTTTGTCTCTGAGGTCACTATAGCACTAAATGGCTTCATTTCTAATCCCACGATTTCTTCCTTCTCTTAAGGTGGTCCTAAAGTCGGTTTATTGTTAGGAGATACCGACTGCGATTGAAGCTTAAGCTGGTTGAAAAATCGAGATTGAGCCTCGAAGGTAGTGATATATTCTAGTAAGTGTCACTAACGCGTGGTTGTTTTAGTCTACAAAATACTGCTACAACGTAAACTATTGTTCATAGGATCGAGAGGCGTTCCACTCCACTGGACTCAACTGGACGCGACGAAGAAAGCCTACATCGGAAGAGGAAACAACTGTGGACAACGACTTTTATCAACGATGTTCTGAAGAAGGCGAAGGTGCGGAAATGTTAGCGGAATAAGACTTTCTTATCATCCGCGTGTTAGCTTAATCATCCAGATCATCCAAGAAAGGTATTCTCCGTAGGGTCAGCCTGCCCAAGAAGCCTATGAAAGGTCGTAAGAATAACTGTAAGTTCAATTCGAAGTTTTCTACTAAAATCACCAAACAACTGGGGTTTATGAATTTCAATAGTTAAAGGTGTCCTATGCACACACTATGTTGGTCACTGGTTCGATTCCACTCCTTCCCCTTCCCTTCTCGCCAGGAATAATCAAGCCCTCCACTTCTTTGGAAACAGCAAAGTGCTTTTCGAGGGTATGAAAACACTGATCTTGATCTGACATCTGCTCGCACTCCATGGGTCAGTGTATTTGTAGTGTGTATAGACCACATCTGCATAATGTTAGACTTACCTCTACCATGTTACACATGGCGTTGAAATCATGGCGCCTTGTTAAGGGATTGATCAACGCTGAACTCTTTGCTCTTTAGGCACTGATACTGTTAGTAAAATCCTTAAGAGTACTCTTCGTCTATTATATTCAGACGTGTTAGAAATTCAAAACCACCGTAAGGTTACCGCAAATTGCAAAGTCACTCAGCACGAAGTCTTTTTTCAATCCTAACATGGACCGGATGATTCCTCGTTGCCCAACCAAGCGCAAACGTTCTCCATTTTCAACGGACGTTTCCCAGTGGATTGGGTTTCGAGCCTAAATTAACTCAACCCTAACTACTCCTTACGGCAGCTCTATTTCGCTGTCAAATTCAATAAAAAACGCGCAAGTCTCCTGAAGCTCTTTGGATAAATTTTAAAAAAATCCGAAAAGGCGAATGCTTCACCATCACACGTGACCTGGCGCCTTATTTCAGAATGATTTTTCGACCTAGATGGATCTCGCTCTCCATCCCATATGAACACTACCTGGGCAGTCCCACTCGTAACAGCACGGTGAGTAGCATTTTGATCAATATGGCATTTATTTCAAAGTTTGATGCTCATTAATATTATAGATATATCACAGAATATAAGGCTGCTGTTACATAAAATACGTCCAGTGTCTAAGGAAGGCGACACCGCCGAAACGTCGTCCATCGACCGACATCACCAACAGCAACGACAACAGCAACAACAACAACAACAACAACAACAACAACAACAACAACAACGAAGACCTAAACCAACCTCTCATCAGCTCAACAAGATCAGTTTATAAGATCATATAAATAAATATATCAATAAAAAATTTTCCATCAGCTAAAAAGTTGCTTTGTTGTTTCCTAGAGCTGGAGCGGAAATCGTGCAATGGTTAGTGATGTTGTGAATCAGGAAACAAGGGCTAGTTCGATCCCTACCACAACGCTCTCTTCCAAGCCACCTGGGAACGCCATAGCCCGACTACTTCTAAGATTTCAGGAAAAATTGACTCGATCAGCATTCTAGAACATTCGTAAAGAAGTCGGAATCCTCAAGCAGCAGTTGAAACAACACTAAGTGTTCGAAGTCCATTGTGGATGTTGGATGAGGGAAAATGAATCGAATGCAAGAAGTTCTGAGATCCGCATAGTTGGTGTGATGACGCGCCATGTAAAAATAAGAAAAATTTTAAAGCCTGCATTTCATGATATGTAGGATGAAAGTTAAAGCGGGTGATTGCAGGGTGATTGCTGATGGCAAAAAGATCGATAAAACTAGCTGAGAGACAGGCAAAACGAAGAACCCGGATGGTGTGGTGGTGAAGTGCGCTGCTCCCCGGTAGGGACAACAGCGCGTGTTCGTTCTCCACTGCATACACCTGTGGTCCGGAGTTTTGCAAATATCTCAGCATTACATATGAAAGTTAAAGCGTTTAGCGATGATCAATCCCTGAGGGATGTGCAATGCATTGCCTTCATTAAACAGCGTTAGAGGTGACTGAACTCATCTTTGCTCTGTACAAACGAGTTGCTGTGGCCTGTTGCCGCTATCCTACCAAACGAGCCTGGTACTAACTTGGGCTCTAAAGAGATGGAGAACTTAGTAAGCTTAGCATGCACGATCGAATCAACGAATAGGTGCCTATTTCAGGAACCTCTAACCGCTTAACCACACATACTTCATGTTACATTCACGCGCATCTTTCTCCTCTCTCTCTCTCTGTGTGTGTGTATTACCTTTCGAAGAACAGAAATAAGCCGTCTAGCGTATTTATAGTTATGAAGTAAAACGATTCCGAGCCTAACTACTTGTTCACTTAATACTACAACAATATCTCCATTTGATTTGAAGGGTGCGTGTAGTGCAGTGTTCGGAGGCGCTCTACAATACACATGGGGTCGATCCGCGCCCAAGGCTCACCGAGCCTTCAATCCTTCCGGGATCCGCAAATTGGTCCCAGACTTGTCTGGCCTGATAGCAGCATCAATTGGATACATCGGTAGGCCACCGCTAGTCATTGTAATGGACAAATATGCATTCAACCACCTCGAACGATGACTAATGAAGTCGAATGTATGGCGCATTCCTCGGGGATTGATCAACGCCAAAACCTTCGCCGTTTTTATACTTTTATCTCCATTTGATGGTGATTATACCAATTCTTATAGCGCATGTTCAGTGAAAGAAAAAAGAAAGAATTCAAGAAATAATCAGCCATTTTTAGCTAGATCAGTCACTAATTCTGGATGTGCTGAAGCTATTTACCAGGAAATTGGTGGTCATAGTGCCGTCTACTTATTGAGGTTCGACCAGCTCGTCACCTCTCATCAGTGTTCTAATCCACAGCCGGCTAATTACCGAACCCTAGTATTTGCATGATCTCGTTGGGGTTCTTGAAGTAAACGGATACGACAATTTTCTCTCCCCAATCTGGCAGTTTCACCAAATCTAGTAGGAAACTCTCCAATGCGATACTCTCCTAATTTATCGATTTCATTTCGCACACATTTGTCCGAGAAGCCCTAAAAGAAAATCTTACACGTTTTCCACTCAACTTTCTTTTGTCTATTGAACGCTATGTGAACACGAAGTAGCTTTGTTCTAGTTCAGTATTATACAAAAAAATTTCCAAGTTGTGACAACGTAGTAACAATTACGTCCACTCCTCATTTTTACCCTACAGTAGTGCGGATTCCTTAGGAGAGCTAAATTTCTAAAGTTTGCTGCCGCTTTCAGCTGAAAAGGGTTATAACAGCCGTACTGTTTTTGCTGGGAAATCTTTGTTGACTACTAATCAATAAGGATTAATAACATTGGCTACAGTAATCAGTACCACCACATTATTCTCTCATTTCTTGATTACTTGCTATTACTACTACTATTGCTACTTGTTATGATTACTTGTTATTGATTCTCTGCTTAGTGGCCAAAGCACATCATAGTTATTGTCAACTACAATTTCTCTCCTCTTTCGTACAGACCACAAACACTAGCAATTCGAAAGCGTAAAATTTCCTTCAAACAATTACTTGAATCCTGATGCACATTCTCTTTCTGTGATTTTGAATCACTTGGGTCTCCATATTATTGCCGTAATGAATTTTTTGTTACATAAAAAAGTAAAAACTAGCTTAGAGAAACGCAGAGCAAGGGCCGCGTAGCGCAATGTCTAATGCGCGAGCTCCCGAAAAGGGAAATCGTGGTTTGATCTGGCCCAGTGTCCAAGTTTTGCGAATATCTCAGCATCGTTGTGGTTGTAATTCACATCATACCCTGCCGTGACAAATTATAGGTGGCAGAAAATTAATGGTTGACATTTAAAAAAGTAATCTTTCTCATTGGGTCCTTTCAGTTTTCAAAGCAAGGTCTAATCACAGTTTTTTTACAATGATTTTTTGTTGGTATTTTTAGTTGTTCTTTTTAAATCTTCCGAATTTGTTGCCAAAATTTTGAAACTACATGTCAAATGACGATAGACGACTAAACTAACATTACTGCCATTCATCCAGGATCTAGCCGAGCCGAAACCGTTCTGTAAGATTGAATAAACGCATCACAAAGTGGAACGAAGAAATTTTGGACCAACACAAATCGGATTGTCGCCTCGGTGAATGGTTCGTTAGAATCCATCATTCATCACGAAAATCGAACATCACTCAGCTATAAAACTGGCTGCTTAAACGATTCATGCATATAAGAATGGAACTGGACGCAGAAAAGATGTTCATCGAGCGCCATATTTTTCTTACGAGTCTTCTCAATTACTCCAATATGCATGCTACTCGTTCGAAATCATCACAATGTGATGCGCATGAGAATCATTTCGCGGCGTGCCCTCCAGAATTGACGGAAATGGAGTCCTGAGTGGAAAACATAGCATTCACGACAAACAACAGTACGTTTGTGCATATACGGGCTGGTACTAGATAAATAACTGTGGTGTTATAGGACAGAAATTGCTGAGCTGAACGCTTGTGGAGAGCCATTATTTGTCCTCCGCATTGAAGAACAAGCTTTAAAATGTGGAAAATAATTATTGGACTCATATCAAAGTGCGAAGATCAAGTTCTTGGTTAAATGGCTGTCCGAACAAAAAGCAATGTCGAGCTATCAAGAAAAGCATGGAAGCATCAGGAATTTCTACTAAGACAACGTTTCCATTGTTCTGTCATGAATGCTTCCTTCCTAGTAGAAAAAAGCCCTTTCTTTCTTTTATGGAACATTTAGCAATACTTCTAGAATTTTAAAAAACGGACGGATAAACGATTAATCTATTATTCTAAGCTCTAAGAGTGTCCGAAGTAGGCACTATTTACAGTGTGGAAGGAGTGGTGCTAGTGGTCACTTCCAGATCTTATTCAATAACACAAAAATGGGTAGGGTTTTAGGGTCGCTATACTAAGTCGAATGGACGAATAGGTAAGGAAACTAATACTAAAATTGAGAAGATGATACTTTTGAAAAGAAGAGAGGGAAAAAGTGGGTAGAGAGTGGGTTAGCAAAACGATGCTCTTCCGACCCAGAAGAAAAAAAGTACTTCAAGCTAGTTTTGTAAGTTCGTTTAGAAGCAAACCGTATTGATGGGTTACATACACTATTTTTTTTCTTAAGCTATCAGAAGGGCTAATTTGAATTCTGTGGTCAATTTCAAATCGTGTGCTAAAGCTTACTGCATCCTACTATGTAAAATGTTTTACCGTTCTTCGTTATTCATTGTGTGAATATTAATAAAGGGTGAAGGATAAAGTATTCGACTTTGATCAGCCAGTTAGGGATATGTTGCATGCAACCCAATTCATGACGTTATAGAGGCGATTGAATGAACAATAGTAAATCGTTTGTGCAGTGACTTGAGGTGCTCCGCCGTTTTATCAACTCGCTCTTTCTAACCTTCCAGACAATTATACTAGCAATTTTTTGATACTGGAAGGATGAAAGGGTTATTCAACCCCGAGCGCAGGGTTGAACCTAGAATACTGTATATATTAGCAAGATGCTCTTACTACTGCGCTATATGCGATGGATAGAATTCATTAGTTACACTAATTAGAATAACGACATTATATCAAGACTTTCTTGGAACGACTTTCTTGGTCTTGATGAAGAAGAAACACGATGGTACTAGAACATTCGCGCAATCACTAAGGTGTCATGTTTAATGCTGCAGTGGGCAGTCATATGTTTGGCATATTACGTGTCGTAGTCGAGTGGATGACTAGTATTGGAATAAGAGCCGGATGGACAAGCTGTGAGCATCTTAAGGATAACGATAGCTCTACGAACACATAATCTAATTAGCATAACGCTAATAGAGTCCGAGAGAGGGGCTGCGGCGGTCCCAGAAGGGATCATTGTAGGATTTTCTAGCTATCTTGAAAAAGTTTCATGATGATGGCTAACAATTTACAACAACAAAAACTGCAAATCATTGCACAGGTATTAAATTTCCATTCATCTTACTTTCTATCGCAGCAGAAACGGAAAAATCTGAAGGACATGCGATGCTTGCGAATTCTAGGAAATCTATGTGAACTAAGTGGATGATACTGGGTGGTAGAGTGACGTGTGTAGAAAGCACCCTAAGAGTAAGAACGACAATAAAAGAAATACGTGAGAATTGTCCAAGGAAACGATTGTAACTTCCTCACCTGTACCATTCAAGTCCTCTGTGATAGTTTTTGTCGAAAAAATGCACTTCTGGTCCTGGTGCTCGAATATTTGCATTCAGTCGAAGAAATTCTAACAAAGCCCTAGTGCCAGCCTTCTTAACACCGACAATGATTGCAGAAGGAAATTTCTTCTGAAGGTGTTCAAACGGTGCAGGTAACGATGAGGTCACAAACAGTAACCTTACCAATATTGGGAGTAACATTCTGAAAAGAATGATTGTTAATGGCATTCCTGAAGGATGTTCTAGAAAGAAAAGGAAGGAAGGAAGAGAAAGTTCTAAGAAGCATTATCCTTTCAAGAGTTTAAATGTTGTTATACTACGATACAAGTAAATATTTGCGATAAAATTATTATGGGAGGCAGTTTAGTTTTGCTTCCAGAATAAGTGTGGAATACCCAGTGAGAATATCAAGAGCATGGATGATCCGGCTGGTGGCTATCGGGCCATGCTGATAGGCGGAGACATTGGCTTCTTGGACTCACATGTCATCTAAAATCGAATGTGTTCTACTGTTAAGAATATTATAGCGAAAACATAAATGAAAAGCTTTAATGAACCGAATAATGATTTCTGGAGTGTATGAATAGCTTTGACGTCTAACTAAACTTTATGAAAAGAGCACAGGCAAGCATTAATTCAAGAAGTTCTATTAGCAGGAAATCTACGACTAAGGCAGATTATTTTTAAGAAATTCAAGTTAATTTCGTTAAGCGTTAAGGTCAACTTGGGAAGAAAGCACTACCATAGAGTTTGATGAGAAAAAAGAGTCATAGGGTGAAAGTCACCGTACATGAAGATTTCGTGAAATGCAAAATCAAACGACACGAATTGGATGAGATATCTGAAAGACATTAAATGGCTTAAGAACCATAACAATTCATCTTGATGCCTTTGTGTGAAGCTGTCAGAAAATTTGCCTACTTAAGCTGGTGGCTTATAGCATCGCTGGCTTTTATTAACTAGGGTAGCAACAAACAATACAGAAACAATTCCCTTATTTATTGCAACGTGAGCCAGGCAATTCTACCGATTTACTAGAAAAACGACGAGTATATCAAAGACTTAAGATCCTCCATTGTTTACTGAAATCTTTTTGCTTATAGGGTAAGCTCTTTACCGAATTTTTATAGAAACTATAGTAAGCAAAATTCCTATATTCTTACCAGACACGTATGGCGCTTTGGTTAGAGCTTCCTCCAATAGAAGCAGTCTCTTCTTAGACCGTGGACCACGGGCTAAGCGAGTACTCCATTACTTTGAGGTCTGCAAATTGTTAGACGAGATATCCGGGAGGACAAAACGCTGGCTTCATAGAACACTAGACTACCGTAAAGGCCGAATCTCCATTGCATTAACTCCACGAGACTACGAATGGAGCCGAATGCGTGGTACTTGTTTGCGATATCAAAGCCAAGCGCTTTATCCTCTATCTTTTACGTTTTCACTTTCATGGATTAACAGTTGTCATGGGAAAATTCTTTACAAGTATAATTGCAACTCTTATCTAATGGATGGATTTACCATGAGTCACTTTGATGATCGAAAGCGTCAGTTTCATTCCGTGACTGCCATTTAGGGCAATTAGCCGATGGGAAGGAATATTGGCCGGAGAGCCAGGCAAGAATAAGTCATGCGTAACTGCACTTCATCGCTCTTCCGGAATACGTTACGATTTGATAGTTGTGATGGACAGCTGGATGCAGTGTTTTCTGATGAGAAACGGAGACTTACTGGTTTACGTGAGCTGATACTACGGAATGGCCACCTAGAAAATGATTGATCCTGTACTTTTGTCCAGCTTAGAAGTGTTTTATCTTTTTTCCAATACGAAATCAGTAATTATTCCAGATCCTTCCTGCGGTTTACCGCCTCATCGTGGCTGGGAGGTGCTCCTGGGTGTCGAACTGCGATGTACAGTGGAGAGATTCGTCCTCCCGGCAGGGTCTCACAAGCTGAAAAGGAGCCCGCCGTTTCCATCAGAAAACCTAGCTAAGGGTAAACCGATACCAGGATCCACCACTGCCCTGGTATCAAAGTCGCATGGTGGCAAATCTCTCTCTGATCTACAAGGGCTGCGACTGGCTGTGGTGATGAAGACCCGGGGCAGACTTTGGCCAGACTGACCTCGGGATTCCAGGAAACCACAATAGGCTTACTACCAAATCTTCGAAAGATGGTGACTATGCTGGGTCCCGCACAATCGGTGAGGATAGGCCGTTTAAGTATCAAGTAATTACTCCAGATATGGTGTAAAGGTGTCCACTTTCCGTAGTAGGTAGTAACATACTGCCTTCTTTAAGATAAACCTAAAAAAGATAAAATATGTCGCTTTAGAAAACGTATTTAAAAGTAAGAAGCTGGTGCAAATCTGAAAAATTAAGGGTTAAATAGAAATAAATGCAACTACTTCGTCATTTCAAAGGTTTACACTGAAGTAAAGAAAATCTACAAACAGGCATTTGAGAGTCTGAATGAAACCTACCACGTTACTGGTGGTTATTATATTCAACAAAAGTGTAGTAAATTGTGGTTTTTCAGTCCCTTCAGGTCGTGTCGTCGTAAATTCTTACACATTACTTATTCTCTTGCAATTCCATATGCTTGTTAAACTCAGGTTTAACTGGAAACAGACTACCTGTTTGACCTGTATACTGTAGCCCAGGATCGTTTTTGCCAACAAAATGCGGCTAAAATTCGAAGACTCAAACCTTTTCTATCTTAGGTACGTCCCAACCACATGACTCCAGCAGCTTTGAGACCAAAAACAGGTGGTCGTCAGAGTAAAAGGATGCCAAACATATGCTACACACATCCAACATGACGCCGTTTTAGCGATCCGCTGAGGTCGAGCTAACAGCTGTTTTTGGTCCATTAGTTGTTATGAAATTTTGATATTTATTTGGCTAGTAAACATTTGTAGTCACCTATACTTAGCTGTACGGCTTGTCTTCACGAATAGTACGGTACTCAACATTGCTAACAATACATTGCTATATTATTAACTAGCAAGTGATATCAAATGCCTTCTGAAGTTTCAAGATAGCCCTGAGTGCTTGCAGGTCTTCACCTCATGCAGCTTCCAATTATCTTTGTATACTCGATGATGGTCTTCCGCCGTACGAGTAGAGTTTCCTTTCAAGACGATGGCGATTCCTGGGATAGCTTGGATCTGTATTGGCTCTAGGATGGAAATTTCTAACTCATTTTCACCTAAAATCACCTTAAGGAGGATGACCAACTGGTTTTATACAGCAATTCAGCTGTCACGAGCACACCAACTCCGTGATGAACCAATAAGTCACCATGCATATCTATATCTACATCATACCTATATCTATGACGAAGTAACTGAAGTTGAAAGAACTTGACAACAAGCGGATTATGTAAAGAATCGATCCTGCTGTTTTTGTGAAACTCATAGGTACCTGAGGAGGTGCTAGGGTTCTCATACGTTCACAAACGATTCCGTTCTATGTGTGATCCATTGTTTACCACCGTGAATAGCGGTCGAATCAGAGGTGCCGACGATGACTAGTCAGCATGAACGAACGAGACTGAAGGCAAGAACTACGAAGGCATACTGATTCTCGTGGAATCGCTCTCAGTGTGGATTCGTCACGATACTCTGTCTTCTCTTCTTCCTCTCTCTACGGTTTCTTGTTGGTGTAAAAAACTCAAAATGGCTAAATTGTTTAATTTTTTAATTGACTTTAATTTTTAATTGACGCAATGTATTTTTGTACGTGCATTTTGAGAATATTTCAAGCCCACAACTATGCTTTCGCTATTGGTTCCATCTTATTTTGCCACGAATTTCGATGTAGACACATTCCTGAAAGAAGTTTAGCTGGTCTTACAGTCAATGATTATGGTAGCCAACTGTCACGCTGTAGAAACAGCTTCATAAAGTTCCGAAAAACCGAAAGCTTATTCATTTACGCTTTTTTTAAAGTTATTCTTCTGTATTTTTGTACAAGAGAGTGCGTGTGGCACAGTGGTCGGAGACACCGAGCGACACACGCATGAGATCCCCACACCAGTGGCTCACCGAGCCTTCCTTCTTTCTGGGGTTGGCAAATTTGTACCAGACTTGCCTAGGAGGATAGCAGCACTGACTCGATACATCGGTAAGCGACCACGATTCATTGTAGAGGCCAGATATGCACTCAATCAGCTGCAACGATATGAAGTCGAATGCATGGCTCATCTCCCACGGACGATCAACGCTGACAGCTTCATCTTTCTATCCTTTTATTTTTGTTTAATGCATTTATTTAGTCTCTTCATTTATTTATCAGCCTTCTTGTTTATTGTATAAGCGATACATTAACGTAGCTATGTGATTTAAAGTGAAAAAAACCACCTTGACTCTGTTTAGTTTTATATTTACTGCCTACTACAATTTTCACTGCAGAGTATTATGCGAAAAACCACAGCGATGCTAAGATATTCGCAAAACCTGGATCCCAAGCCAGATCGAACCACAATTTCCCTTTCCTAGGGCTCGTACATTACACACTGCCTCACGGAGACTCTTGTTGACTCTTTCTAATCACAACCTTCTTGCTTTCCTTAATGTCTGCTTTGCATTCTAATGAAGAATAATGGACGACAAAAACATTATGAGAAATTTTCGATTAAGTGAAAGAAAATGTCAAGCACTTATTTTATAGAATTGGCTCCTTCTCTATTACTTTCATACCGTGTAATAGAAAGAAATAAAATAGCAGTAAGAAAGGGCTTCGAAAATTCTGTCTGGATTCAGTCGTTAAGTAAAAGAAGTGAACAAAGAAAAGAAGGAAAAGAAGAAACAAAAAACGAAAGTTGGGTAAACATTCTTTCCTTTCTATTTTTTTCCTATTCCTTTTAATGTATGACAGACTGGAAATTTTAATTGTGTGATTCTATACGAGTTTACATTTAATAGAGTAACCCAGATGAAGCTCGAAAGCCTGTAATTATAATGCAAGCCGCGCCTTGCTTGATTAAAATGCTCAGATGGGTTTCAAACCATTTTCCCCTTCCTAGTCATTAATTCACAACATAGCCATTGATTAGAAAGTTTTCATTCGCCTATAAATTGAATAATGAGTGTTTTGTAAGTGCTCCTGCTGCGGTATAGATCTTCATGGTATATTCCACGTTTTGGGTACAATTTTCAAAATTCAGGGTCTCAAATCCAGTTTGCTCTTCGGACGAGTCACCTCGTGCCACAATCCTAATGATTGTATTCGACGATTTTGTGTTATGAATACCTTTGATCCGCTATGTTTACGTATGCTATCTGCTATGCATGAATAAGTTTGATTAGCTCTGATTACTCATTTCATAAGAAGATTACGATAAGATTAAGATACATCGCCGTAATTGCGGACTTATGACTGTGCCTCACCTACCGTATCTGCTTTCCTCCTCTTTAACAATGTCCCGTTATTACGCAGCAGTATATCACAATCAAAAACTCCAATCACTTTTTTGT